AAAAATGGTTTGGCTATTTACATTTTTAGCTTATTACATTGTAATTTCCTTTTTTGTCAGCACTGAAATAAACTTTACTGTTGTAGGTACTTAAGATAGTAGTTAGTGTTTATATACTAGTGTTTATACACTAGTGTGTATTTCTAGTGTTGCTGCCCAGTGAAAACCTCACACCATTAAAGACAATTATCCACAAGTTTAAAAACAAGCAAAACAAAGAACACTCAAAGTAAAATAATGCATATAAAATCACCAAACTTGGAGATTTCTTTCCACGGGAAGAACATGAAAGACTATAAAGTGATCAGTAATTAAAGCTGTCAAAAAATGTGGTGGAGTGTAGTGTTTGCCCCTGAGATATAATGTATGTAAGAGAAAATGCTCAGCTAAGGTACTGAAAATGCTTTAAATAGTCCACAGACCAGTCCGTCCAGCCAATGATTCAATAGAACTGACTTTAATTTGTATAGCGCCAAATCACAACAACATTTGCCTCAAGGAGTTTTATATTGTAAGGTAAAGACCCTACAATAATACAGAGAAAGCCACAGCAATCAAACAAAATGCTATGAGTAAGCATTCAGTGAAGAAACCTCCAGCAGAATCAGGCTTCAGGAGTGGCGTCCATCTGACACTGTGAAAAAAAGACAGTGGAAGAGAGCCAGAGATTAATATATTAGATACTATATTACTTCTTCCTTCAAAATACGAAAAATGAGTTCCATAATGTACTGTATATTTTAATGTTAAAGTAGAATGACAAATTTTGTAGTTTGTCAGCATATAGCAAGCAAGACATATTTGAACACTTTCACTATGGTGATGTGTTTTGATTTTAGTCGGGAAGGTCGGTTCCAAGAGTAAGGAGGATGCCCCTTATGAGCTGGAGAGCCAGTTTGTCCTTAGGCTTCCTTCGGTGAGACGTTTGCACTTGCAGAAATTCATTGTTTGATGGAAATTCACTTTTCTCACCATCAATATGATCTGGCTTAATTTTTCTTTCTTTTGCAGGAGTATGCCTCAACAGTAAGAAGGATTGCACAGTCTAGCAGTATGAACATGAAGGACAGACTCACCATTGAGTTGCACCGTAAGCTGCTCACAATCTTGGCACTGGTTTCATTTGTCTCACGCTGTCTCCCTGTCTTGTTATTCATTTACAGTCGGGTCCAGAATTTTGAACGTTGTACATATTTCTATAGCAGTTTCATTCTTTTTCTTATTTAAATGTAACAATGATTGTAGCATACTAATGGATCTAGTTAAAGAATTGTCACCCACATGTCCCCCTAACAGTCATTTGTCCCTCTTATTTGTAGCTGATGGTCGTCATGGCATAGTTAGAGTAGACCGTGTTCCTTTGGCCTGCAAACTGGTTGATCTCCCCTGCATGATTGAGTCACTCAAAACGGTGGACAAGAAGACGTTTTACAAGACCGCAGATGTCTGCCAGGTAAGCAAGAGAGTGGAAATAAATAATTTTTACAGTTTTCCATTTTTTATTGGTTTAAAATAAAAGTACATTTTGGATTTTAGATACATGTTATGTAAATTTATTTCCCCGGTTACAGTGCAGTGCAGTACAGATTAATCAGCATGATATTATCATTCATTTTCCCATCCACGGGTTAGATGCTCGTGTGTACACTAGATGGAGACCTTTATCCCCCTTTGGAAGAGCCAACTGGCACTGACCCTAAGACCAAAAAGAAGGATAAAGACAAGGACAAGAAATTTGTTTGGAATCACGGCAGTAAGTAATTATATACACACAGCAGCTTTTTGACTTGTTTATATTGAAAACTTGGCATATCAGCAGTTCAGGAAACATAATGTCCCCTCGTTGGGCAGTGGACTGATTCTTGGCTTCGCTAATCCCATTGTTTTGCTCTTTAGTCACCTGCCCTCTGAAGAACACGCGCAAGAGGAGATTTCGGAAGACTGCGAAAAAAAAGGTTCTGACATTTTTCATTTTCCCTACAGCAATCCCCTCCCGTGTCCCATCCATCTCCTTAGCATCTCGTTTGATGATCCATCTTTTTCCTAGGCTCTCTTCCAACAAGACATTTACATTTCATAAAACAGGAACTATGGTAAAAGTGAAAACTAAGATTTACATATAAATAAAGCCTTTCCATCTTAGTGTTCCCCAAAGGCATGCAAAAAAGCTATTTCACTATTGCTTTGATCAAAGTGAAAGCGAGTGGAGCTGGAGCACTACACTTCTACTTTGTCTTCTGAATAAATCTTCCTGAAGGTGCAGAGCTGAGCCATATTGATTTGGCCCCTTCTGTTTTTAATCGCTAATGTACTTCCTGGCATGTGGCCAGCTGCTACCTTTGTGTGTGTGTGTGTGTGTGTGGGTAAGACAAGGCAAGAGAGATGCTGCTAATACTACAAGTAACT